AGTAACTTGACACAAATTAAAATTATAATTGAAAAAATCTCTTATTGTGTGCCTTAATTCTCTCTGTACTATTATCATCCGATTGATGGTCACAGGTATCCCTATATATAGTTTTAATAATTAAGAGTGATGCACAATATCAGTCGAAAAGAGGTAAAATCCACATTTTTTAGCTTTAGAGGTTACAGGACTAGCCTCTATTAAACTTTAACGTAGCCTAAGGGCAATTCTTTTAGATCCTTAATAAAAACATCATGAGCCTAAAGTATATGAGAAGTTCATTAAGACTTTCAAGTAGGAAAGATAAAGAATAAATCCGTTATATAATCTTCCATTAATGTAAGCTAACCTAGCAAAGGGCTAACATGTTTTTGTAAAATGAATATTAAACAGCCCGAATATTACCTAGTGTTACGAATTAAGCAAAGAAAAGTAATCGGTAAGGGATGCCTAATTCGGTTAAGATCGTGCATAAGGGAAGGTATAGAATGTCCACCTAAAAGCTTTATGCTAATCGCAACTTATGATAGCAACATAAGTTAATCGTAAGCCAGTACCCTCATGAATAGCTTACAAAAGATGTACAAAAAACGAAATCCACTTAGAAATTTGCATATTTACTGAAATAATATTTGCAGTATTCATTGGTTATATCAACACCTACATGATTTTATAAGTCAGCCAAAATTATTAGCTTTATGGAAGCATGTGCTGCTTTATGCTAATGTCAATTCGCCAAAGATGGTTAAAAACTTGCTTAGATTTTGATATGCTAATTGAAAAACATATCTAAAGTTTTCAATCGTGCTATTCCTTTCATAAAATCTTAAGCTTAAAACTAGCCTTTTGATTTCTTGTGCCCTGCGATTAGGCCACAAAATGTCATTGAATCTAATTCAGCCTCTCTCCCTTAAATGCATTCAATTGCTGTTTTGACCTCATCTATGTGTTGTCAGCACTTCCAACAGAAATCTAACTCGGATAAATTTTCAGTCTGTTACCATTACGACACAATGCCATGGATGCCAGTGTCACAGGGTAGATGTGAATTTCAAGGCTAATCAGGCCTCTTCTAAATCACATATTTTAATGGGATTTTCCATGGAGCAAATTTGTACTTATTATCAAAATTGAATCTATAGTCCATATTCAGATTTAGTATATTTCGAAGCTACCAACAGATCTGAATAAGAGCTGCATTCTAGAACTCATAAGGTCATGAAAGGCTGATAGTTGAATTTTTACACAACAATATGAAGATATAAGGGAATTTATCTGGCTTTTCAGAAGGTAATCTTGTCCAGGTTGGACTGGACTACAGTTTCGACCTCTGGCTCTCATCAACGCATCCTACGCAGCGCATTGTGGGAGTATTCAGCTGTCAAGCTCTCATCACTTTATGAAACCTATGGTGAATACAGCTCTAATTCAAGATCAACTTTTAGTTTCGAAATCTAGTAATTCTGAATATTTTGTAATATAAGTAGCATAAGGTAATTAAGGTTAAAACGCGAGCATACTAAAGACGTAACGCTTACCATACAAAATAGTTTGGTGGATGAACAAGAGCAGCAGAGATGGAGTATGCCTGAAGAATGACTGATGAAGAACATAAAAGAAATAATTGCAGAAAGTGAACGAACTAATCGAGCCTATACGTTTACTTTATTCACAGTTCCATTCACCTCAGGCCTAATTAACATCTCCTCCTCTCCTTTACCATGAAAACATATCCCCGCCTCCCCTCCCTCTGAGTAGTTATAATCCCGAGGCAATAGTTTATGTTTATTGGAAGACAATAGACTGGAGATTCCTAAGGCCGAATGACACTTTGTTTGTAGATCTAACACTTCTACTTCATTCTCCCTTAAAAAATTGTCAGGATGGATGGTTCCAGTCTCGAGTTTAGAACATAACTCATGGGACTCAGTTTCAAGCCGATGAGAGAGATAGGTTGAACCAAGAGGGGGATCCTCAGCAGTTTCTTCAGGGATCTGAAAGGGACCTATCTTTGAGGGGCTGAAATAACGCCGATGAATGTCAGTTTGTTCGGAATCATCGCAAACTGAATCATTGTCCACGACAATCATCTCAGTCGGTGCCTCTGAGAGAAGACAAGTTGCTTGATTTTGCGGGAGAGAATGAGAGATGAATGGCGCCAGACAAAGGCGGCAGCAAATGGAATTCCGATAGCGCTCGCGTTGACCTCCCAAGATGGCCAGAAGTGACATAAGGCCACCGATCAGCTGCATAAGACCAAGGAAGATAAAAGCGGCCCGGTAATCGTCCATTTGATCTTTAATATAGCCTAAATGAGTAAAGCAAAACCAGATATCAGTTCAAGAATAGATATTGAGAGAAAGAGATAATGAGATAAGTTCAAGCTATTTTGTTTAAGGTATGAACCCTTTACATATTAGCAAAGCGAAATTCCATTTTCTTTAGTTTTCATTATGAACTGCATTTTTAAATTCAACTGGCTTACTTTATACAAGATGGATTAATATATCATTTCAATCCTATGATAAAAAATTAGTAATATGAGATGTATTCACCCAATTTCGTTTAAGGTGATGAAGGACTGGTGGAAGAAGAATTTTCCCA